CGTGTGCAAATTTGCAAGAACAAGGGCCAGCGTGTGCAAAATTGCAAGAACAAGGGCCCAGCGTGTGCAAAAATGCAAGAACAAGGGCCCAGCGAGTGCAAAATTGCAAGAACAAGGGCCCAGCGTGTGCAAAATTGCAAGAACAAGGGCCCACCGTGTGCAAAATTGCAAGAACAAGGGCCCACCGTGTGCAAAATTGCTAGAACAAGGGCCTAGCGTGTGCAAAATTGCAAGAACAAGGGCCGAGCGTGTGCAAAATTGCAACAACAAGGGCCTAGAGTGTGCAAAATTGCAAGAACAAAGGCCCAGCGTGTGCAAAATTGCAACAACAAGGGCCTAGCGTGTGCAAAATTGCAAGAACAAGGGCCCAGCGTGTGCAAAAATGCAAGAACAAGGGCCCAGCGAGTGCAAAATTGCAAGAACAAGGGCCTAGCGTGTGCAAAAATGCAAGAACAAGGGCCCAGCGAGTGCAAAATTGCAAGAACAAGGGCCCTGCGTGTGCAAAATTGCAAGAACAAGGGCCCAGCGTGTGCAAAATTGCAAGAACAAGGGCCCACTGTGTGCCAAATTTGCTAGAACAAGGGCCCAGCGTGTGCAAAATTGCAAGAATAAGGGCCATCGTGCGCAAAATTGCAAGAACAAGGGCCCAGCGTGTGCAAAAATGCAAGAACAAGGGCCCAGCGAGTGCAAAATTGCAAGAACAAGGGCCCAGCGTGTGCAAAATTGCAAGAACAAGGACCCACCGTGTGCAAAATTGCAAGAACAAGGGCCCACCGTGTGCAAAATTGCTAGAACAAGGGCCCAGCGTGTGCAAAATTGCAAGAACAAGGGCCGAGCATGTGCAAAATTGCAACAACAAGGGCCTAGAGTGTGCAAAATTGCAAGAACAAGGGCCCAGCGTGTGCAAAATTGAAAGAACAAGGGCCCATTGTGTGCAAAATTGGAAGAACAAGGGCCAAACGAGTGCAAAATTTCAAGAACAAGGGCCTAGCGAGTGCAAAATTGCAAGAACAAGTGCCCAGCGTGTGCGAAACTGCAAGAACAAGGGCCCAACGTATGCAAAATTGCAAGAACAAGGGCCTAGCGTGTGCTAAATTGCAAGAACAAGGGCCCAGCGTGTGCAATATTTAAAAAAACAAGGGCCCATCGTGTGCAAAATTGCAAGAACAAGGGCCCAGCGTGTGCAAAATTGCAAGAACAAGGGCCTAGCGTGTGCAAAATTGCAAGAACAAGGGCGCAGCGTGTGCAATATTGCAAGAGCAAGGGCCCAGCGTGTGCAAAATTGCAAGAACAAGGGCGCAGCGAGTTCAAAATTGCAAGAACAAGGGCCCAGCGAGAGAAAAATTGCAAGAACAAGGGCCCAGCGTGTGCAAAATTGCAAGAACAAGGGCTTAGCTTGTGGAAAATTGCAAGAACAAGGGCCCAGCATGTGCAAAATTGCAAGAACAAGGGCCAAGTGAGTGCAAAAATGAGAGAACAAGGGCCCAGCGAGTGCAAAATTGCAGCAACAAGGGCCCAGCGAGTGCAAAATTGCAGGAACAAGGGCCCAGCGTGTGCAAAATTGCAAGATCAAGGGCCCAGCATGTGCTAAATTGCAAGAACAAGGGCCCAGCGTGTGCAAAATTGCAAGAAGAAGGGCCCAGCGTGTGCAAAGTTACAATAAGAAGGGCCCACCGTGTGCAAAATTGCAAGAACAAGGGCCCTGTGTGTGCAGAATTGCAAGAAAAAGAGCCCACTGTGTGCAAAATTGCAAGAACAAGGGCCCAGCGAGTGCAAAAATGCAAGAACAAGGGCCCAGCAAGTGCAAAAATACAAGAACAAGGGCCCAAGGAGTGCAAAATTGCAAGAACAAGGACCGAGCGTGTGCAAAATTGCAAGAACAAGGACCCAGCATGTGCAAAATTGCAAGATCAAGGGCCCAGCATGTGCTAAATTGCAAGAACAAGGGCCCAGCGTGTGCAAAATTGCAAGAACAAGGGCCCAGCGTGTGCAAAATTGCAAGAACAAGAGCCCAGCGTGTGCAAAATTGCAAGAACAAGGGCCCAGCGTGTGCAAAATTGCAAGAACAAGGGAATAGCATGTGCAAAATTGCAAGAACAAGGGCCCAGCGTGTGCAATATTGCAAGAACAAGGGCCCAATGTGTGCAAAATTGCAAGAACAAGGGCCCAGCGAGTGCGAAATTGCAAGAACAAGGTCCCTACGTGTGCAAAATTGCAAGAACAAGGGCTTAGCGTGTGCAAAATTGCAAAAACAAGGGCCCTGCGTGTGCAAATTTGCAAGAACAAAGGCCCAGCGTGTGCAAAATTTCAAGAACAAGGGCCCAGCGTGTGCAAATTTGCAACAAGGACCCAGCGTGTTCAAAATTGCAAGAACAAGGGCCCAGTGTGTGCAAAATTGCAAGAACAAGGGCCTAGCGTGTGAAAAAATGCAAGAACAAGGGTCCTGCGAGTGCAAAAATGCATGAATAAGGGCCCAACGAGTGCAAAAAGGGCCCAGCGGGTGCAAAATTGCAAGAACAAGGGCCCATCGTGTGCAAAATTGCAAGAACAAGGGCCCACCGTGTGCAAAATTGCTAGAACAAGGGCCCAGCGTGTGCAAAATTGCAAGAACAAGGGCCTAGCGTGTGCAAAATTGCAAGAACAAGGGCCCAGCGTGTGCACAAATGCAAGAACAAGGGCCCAGCGAGTGCAAAATTGCAAGAACAAGGGCCTAGCGTGTGCAAAAATGCAAGAACAAGGGCCCAGCGAGTGCAAAATTGCAAGAACAAGGGCCCTGCGTGTGCAAAATTGCAAGAACAAGGGCCCAGCGTGTGCAAAATTGCAAGAACAAGGGCCCACCGTGTGCCAAAATCGCTAGAACAAGGGCCCAGCGTGTGCAAATTTGCAAGAACAAGGGCCAGCGTGTGCAAAATTGCAAGAACAAGGGCCCAGCGTGTGCAAAAATGCAAGAACAAGGGCCTAGCGAGTGCAAAATTGCAAGAACAAGGGCCCAGCGTGTGCAAAATTGCAAGAACAAGGGCCCACCGTGTGCAAAATTGCAAGAACAAGGGCCCACCGTGTGCAAAATTGCTAGAACAAGGGCCTAGCGTGTGCAAAATTGCAAGAACAAGGGCCGAGCGTGTGCAAAATTGCAACAACAAGGGCCTAGAGTGTGCAAAATTGCAAGAACAAAGGCCCAGCGTGTGCAAAATTGCAACAACAAGGGCCTAGCGTGTGCAAAATTGCAAGAACAAGGGCCCAGCGTGTGCAAAAATGCAAGAACAAGGGCCCAGCGAGTGCAAAATTGCAAGAACAAGGGCCTAGCGTGTGCAAAAATGCAAGAACAAGGGCCCAGCGAGTGCAAAATTGCAAGAACAAGGGCCCTGCGTGTGCAAAATTGCAAGAACAAGGGCCCAGCGTGTGCAAAATTGCAAGAACAAGGGCCCACTGTGTGCCAAATTTGCTAGAACAAGGGCCCAGCGTGTGCAAAATTGCAAGAATAAGGGCCAGCGTGCGCAAAATTGCAAGAACAAGGGCCCAGCGTGTGCAAAAATGCAAGAACAAGGGCCCAGCGAGTGCAAAATTGCAAGAACAAGGGCCCAGCGTGTGCAAAATTGCAAGAACAAGGACCCACCGTGTGCAAAATTGCAAGAACAAGGGCCCACCGTGTGCAAAATTGCTAGAACAAGGGCCCAGCGTGTGCAAAATTGCAAGAACAAGGGCCGAGCATGTGCAAAATTGCAACAACAAGGGCCTAGAGTGTGCAAAATTGCAAGAACAAGGGCCCAGCGTGTGCAAAATTGAAAGAACAAGGGCCCATTGTGTGCAAAATTGGAAGAACAAGGGCGCAACGTGTGCAAAATTGCAAGAACAAGGGCCTAGAGAGTGCAAAATTGCTAGAACAAGGGCGCAGCGTGTGCAATATTGAAAGAACAAGGACCCAGCGTGTGCAAAATTGCAAGAACAAGGGCCCAGCGAGTGCAAAATTGCAAGAACAAGGGCCCAGCGAGTGCAAAATTGCAAGAACAAGGGCCCAGCTGTCAGAACATTATAGCTTATGCTGTTGTGCAGGCCATAGGGGTTACAGCCCAATCAAGGTTTCCTATTTGTACTCACTTCATTCATAATTCATTCATTCTCGTTCTAGTTTTCTCATGGTATCGAGCAGGTTCCCCCGTGGGAACTGTGCTTAGGGCCCACCACATCGATATTCTTTTTTTTCCTGCCCGAAGCGCGGTCGCCCTGAGTTGCGCTCCGGGCCCTCTCTCAAACTTTGTCGACCTGCCCTATCGGCCCCTAGACGCCCGCGCGCCGCCCTTAGACGCCCGCGCGCCGCCTGTCCCGGCCCCTAGACCCTCGCGCGCTGCCCGTCCCGGCCCCTAGACGCCCGCGCGCCGCCCTTAGACGCCCGCGCGCCGCTCGTCCCGGCCCCACGCCGCCCGTGCGCCGCCCGTCCCAACCGCGCACAGCCGTCCCGGCCCCTCGTCGCCCGTGCGCTGCCCGCCGTGGCCCCTCGCCGCCGTCCTGGCCCCAAGCCGCCCGTGCGTCGCCCGTCCCGGCCCCGCTCCCAGCCGCCCGTGCCCCAACCGTCCCGGCCGCGCGCCGCTGTCCCGGCCCCACGCTGCCTGTGCGCCGCCCGTCCCAGCCGTGCGCCGCCGTCCCAGCCCCACACCGCCCGTGCGCCACCCGTCCCGGCCCCACGCCGCCCGTACGCTGCTGTGACACCCAGCCGCCCAAGCCGCCCGTGCCACCTGCGCCACCCGAGCCGCCCGAGCCGCCTGTGCCGCTGCGGAGCCGAGCTGCCCGAGCCGCCTGTGCCGCTGAGTGCCCGAGCCGCCCAAGCCGCCCGAGCCGCCCGAGTCGCCTGCGCCGCCCGAGCCGCCCGAGTCACCTGAGGAGCCGAGCCGCTGGTCCCCCGGAGCTGCTGTTGCTGCTCGGCCGGCCGAGCAGCAGTGTTGCCGTGTTGCTGTGCTGCTGAGCTGCCCGACCCGTCCTGTCTGGTGAGATCGTCGACTGCTGTCATGGCTACCCCTAGTGTCCTAGCTTTTGACGCTGGGGGTCGCGCCATTGACTTTGAGGTCTGGGTCGACGAGCTGCAGCTGTTCTTACAGTGCGACAGGGCAGACGGTCTTTCTCTCTTTGACCTCACCTCTGGCGCCTCCCTTGCCCCTGCTGCTGATGCTGACCCCACTGTTCGCTCCCAGTGGGCCACACGCGATGCTGCTGCACGTCTTGCTGTGCGTCGCCACCTGCCTACCGCTGAGCGCGCGCACTTTAGTCAGTACAAGAGTGCTCAGACCTTGTACGACGCTGTAGTTGCGCGCTACTCCTCCCCTGCCACTGCTGCACTGAGCCGCCACATGCTACCCTTCCTCTTCCCTGACCTTGCTGCCTTTCCCACAGTCGCTGACCTCATTACGCACCTCCGCACTAGTGACACTCGCTACCGCGCTGCGCTTCCTGCTGACTTCTGCGCCAAGAACCCCCCCCCATGTACATCACTCTCTATTTCATAGTCACTCGTCTCCCTGACTCCCTTCGTGTAGTCAAGGACCACTTCCTCTCAGTCTGTCCCACCACTCTCACTGTAGACCTCCTCGAGAAGTCCCTCCTAGCGGCAGAGAAGAGCATAGTCGCTGTAGGGGCCTCTCGTGGTGACCCTCGCACCCCCATCTTTGAGGGGTGTTCTCCTTCCCCCCTGTTGCCCTCTGTCGCCTCTGCCGCTGCGGCCGACCTTATTGGTCTTGAGTCGGTCGGTGCGGCGTCCGCCCCTAGCGGGAGACGCCGCCCTGGCAAGGGCAAGGGGGGCAAGGGCGCGGGTGGAGCTAGCGGGGGCGGTGGAGGTGGAGGTGGAGGTGGCGGAGGGAGTGGGGGTGGCGGTGGAGGTGGTGGAGGGGGTGGAGGTGCTAGTGGCGGCAGTGGAGGCGGAGGCGGCGGTGGCAGCGGCGTTATTGGCGGGGGCGGCGGTGGTGGTGGAGGTGGAGGCGGCGGAGGTGGAGGTGGTGGAGGTGGTCGGAGTGGCGCTTCGCAGCGGAGCAGCACTGGGGGTGGTCAGTGCGAGCAGCAGCAGCAGCGTTCTCGCGACGTCCCCACCCCTCAGCAGCTCCGTGAGTGGTACACGCAGCGTCAGCGTGGTGGGGGTTTTGGTCCCTGCACCTACGTCCTTCGCACCAGCGACCACGCGGGTGAGCAGTGTGGGGGTGCCCACCCCGCCCAGCGCTGCTTTGGCCGCGTGACGGACGCTTGGCGCCAGCAGTTCCCGGAGGCCACTGAGATCCCCCGCTGGGGAGAGCTGTCTAGGGCTGGTGTAGCTATCTTTGATCTTGACTTTGATGCTATCCTTGCTGCCATGTATGCTGTGACTATTAGTGATGAGGGTGACTGTTACCGGTGTTTCCTGCCCGACCCGGGCATTGGTACTGCTGCTCTAGGTGCCAGTGAGGCTACTGCTCTAGGTGCCAGTGCGTCTGTGCTCTCAGGTACTGGTGAGTCTGCGCTCTCAGGTACTAGTGAGTCTGCGCTCTCAGGTACTACGTCGGCTTCGGCCTCTCACACCTTCACCCTTGACTCTGGGGCGTCTCGCTCCTTCTTTCGGGACCGCACCACACCCACGCCGCTTAGTCGGCCGGTTGCGGTGTCCCTGGCTGACCCCTCTGGGGGTCCTGTCCTGTCTCGCTTCTCCACAGTCCTCCCGTGTCCGGCGGCTCCCTCTGGCACCCTGTCTGGTCTCTACCTCCCCTCGTTCTCTACGAACTTGGTGAGTGGTGCTGACCTACAGGATGCAGGTGTCCACCAGTTCACTCCTGCTCCTCAGCGGGTGACGCACTGCACAGAGGCTAGCACAGGTCGCCACCTGGCTACGTTTACACGTCAGCCAGGGTCGAGCCTATACAATCTGACCACTGCTTCTCCTCCAGTTGCTGAGTCTGGTAGGGTCCCTGCGTCTGGTCAGGTGTTTGCTGCAGCGTCCAGGTCTGGTCCTGAGTTTGCCCCCTGTTCGTGTCGTCGCCTGTCTCACGAGACTCTCCTCTGGCACCACCGCCTTGGTCACCCCTCTCTGCTTCGGCTCAGAGGCATGGCCTCCCGTCTTCTTGTGTCTGGTCTCCCCCGGTCCCTCCCTCCCCTTCCTCAGGGCCCTGGCCCTGCCTGTGTCCCCTGTGTCGAGGGGCGCCAGCGTGCTGTCCCTCACTCCTCCCAGTTTCCTCCGACAGAGGCCCGGTTGCAGACGCTTCACATGGACGTGTGGGGCCCTGCCCGCGTCCGTGGACTAGGTCACGAGCGCTACTTCCTGTTGGTGGTTGACGACTACTCGCGTTACACCACAGTCTTCCCCTTGCGCAGCAAGGGTGATGTCACTGAGGTGCTGATAGACTGGATCCGCGCAGCTCGTCTCCAGCTCAGGCAGAGCTTTGGCTCAGACTTTCCTGTTCTGCGTCTGCACTCGGACAGAGGCGGAGAGTTCTCCTCTGGCCTTCTGCGTGCCTACTGTCGTGCGCGAGGCATCCGTCGGACCTTCACGCTTTCGGACTCACCGCAGCAAAATGGGATTGCAGAGCGCCGCATTGGCATGGTCATGAACGTCGCTCGTACGTCTATGATGCATGCGGCTGCCCCCCATTTTCTGTGGCCGTTTGCAGTCAGGTACGCGGCGCATCAGATCAACCTTCACCCTAGGGTCTCCATGCCGGAGACCTCCCCAGCCCTGCTGTGGACGGGGAAGGTTGGCGATGCGTCGGCGTTCCGGGTCTGGGGATCTCGGGCGTTTTTCTGCGACTTGTCTGCGGACAAGCTGTCCCCTCGTGCTGCTCCCTGCGTCTTCCTGGGGTTCCCCCCCGACGCCCCTGGGTGGCAGTTCTACCACCCCACCTCTCGCCGTGTTCTGTCCTTCCAGGACGTCACGTTCAACGAGTCGGTACCCTACTACCGCCTCTTCCCCTACCGCACTCCGTCCCTCCCCCCGCCCCCGCTCTTCCTTGTACCAGGTCCCCCCTCGGTAGACCCCCTCCCCCCTCAGGGTCCTGCCCCTTCAAGTGTGTCCCAGGTAGACGCAGTCGAGCCTGTCGAGGTCACTGGTGACTCTGGTGCTGCTGAGGGTGCTGAGCCTAGGGGTGTTGAGACTGGGGGTGCTGGGCCTGGGGGTGCTGAGCCTGGGGGTGCTGAGCCTGGGGGTGCTGAGCCTGGGGGTGCTGAGCCTGGGGGTGCTGGGCCTGAGGGTGTGGAGCCTAGGGGTGCTGAGCCTGGGGGTGCTACACCTGGAGGTGCCTTGCCTCCGGGTGCTGGGTCTGGGGGTGCTGAGCCTGGAGGTTCTCCGCCTAGAGGTTCTCCGGGTGCTTCGTCTCGCCGGGAGCCACTCTCTCCACAGGAGCTGCGCGAGTGGTTTGCCCGGCGCTGGAGCTGTGCTGCTGGTGCTGGAGGTTCGTCGGCCACTGAGGGTGCTGCTGTCGCGGGTCCCGAAGGTGCTCGTCCTGGGAGTACTGGAGCTGCTGGGCCTGCAAGTTCGACTAGAGCTGGTGCTGCTAAAGGTGTTGGCGCTGAGACTACCACTGGCGGTCCTGCTTGCGGTGCTCTTGGTGCTGCTGGAGGTTCTGGAGCTGCTTGAGGTGCTGCTAGGGGTTCTGGAGCTGCTGGAGGTGCTGCTGGAGGTGCTGCTGGAGCGGGTACTCCTGCTGGGGGTCCTGGTGCTGTCCCTGCTGTTTCTGGTGTCGCCGCGCGGCCTCGACCGTACTTCGTTCCACTGCTGCAGCAGGTTCTTGGTCTTACACCTTCTACTGGTCCTCCTCCTCCTCCCTTAGAGGGTCCACAGCCTGTCCAGTCACAGTCACAGCTACAGCCTGCCTCTCCTTTGCCTGCTCCTTCTCCCTACGCTGGTCCTACTGGAGGTCTTACTGAGCATCGTGAGCCTGCATCTCGTCCTGCGTCGCCTGTTCGTGCTGCGCGCGCTAGTGGTCGCGGTTCGCGTCAGCGTCCTCCTCCTGTCCCTGGCACGCACCGGATGTCTCTGCGTCCGTCTACTGCTCCTCTGCGTGCCCCTTTGCCTTCTCCTCCTGCGTCCTCTCTTCCTGCTCTTGCCGACCCGGAGTCGGACTCTCTTCGTGCTGCCAGTCCCACTGTCACGCGTCTCCTTGCTACTGCCGTCACTGACCCTTCTTTCGAGTCTACTGCTGCGTCTGCCCTTGTTGCTGAGCTCGTCGACTTTGCTGCTCGTTGTCGTCTAGACTACGCTGCTAGTCTTGTCGCTGAGTCTGAGTCTGTCTGTCCTCCGTCCGTCGGGGGTGAGTGTGCCCTTGGCACGGACGTCCTTGAGGACAGGCAGGAGGAGTTCCAGTGTCTGGCCGCTGCTTCACCTCATCTCGTGTCCGTACTGCTTACCCCTGAGGGAGACCCGGATGCACTTGACATCCCGACTCCGCGCTCTTACGCGGAGGCGATAGAGGGTCTCTACTCCTCTCATTGGCAGGCAGCTATGGATGCAGAGATGGCTTCCTGGAAGTCCACACGCACCTACGTTGACGCTGTCCCCCCTCCTGGGGCGAACATCGTCAGTGGCATGTGGATCTTCGGGGTGAAGCGGCCGCCGGGTTTTCCGCCTGTCTTCAAGGCGCGTTACGTGGCTCATGGCTTCAGTCAGCGGCAGGGAGTTGACTACTTTCAGACCTTCTCCCCCACCCAGAAGATGACCACTCTTCGGATACTGCTGCACGTTGCTGCTCACCGTGACTACGAGCTGCACTCTCTCAACTTCAGCACAGCTTTCTTGCAGGGCAGCCTGCACGAGGAGATCTGGCTGCGCCGCCCACCTGGCTTCACTGGGTCTTTCCCTCCTGGTACCCAGTGGAGTCTCCGGCGTCCAGTCTACAGTCTCCGCCAGGCGCCACGTGAGTGGCACGACACACTGAGGACTACTCTGGCGGCACTTGGGTTTGCTCCTTCTACTGCCGACCCGTCGTTGTTTCTGCGCACCGACACCTCTCTGCCGCCGTTCTACATCCTCGTGTAAGTCGACGACTTGGTCTTTGCCACAGCTGACACTGCTGGACTCGCCTACGTGAAGTTCGAGCTGCAGAAGAGACACACGTGCACTGACCTGGGTGAACTGCGCAGCTACCTTGGCTTGCAGATCACCCGGGACAGAGCACGCCGCACCATTACCCTGACTCAGTCACACATGGTGCAGCAGGTCCTTCAGCGCTTCGGCTTCACGTACTCCTCGCCTCAGGCCACTCCTCTGCCTACTCGCCACTCGCTCTCAGCTCTGCCTTCGGATGAGTCCGTAGAGTCGAGTGGCCCGTATCCAGAGCTTGTTGGCTGCCTCATGTACCTGATGACCTGCACACGACCTGACCTTGCATACCCTCTTAGCATTCTAGCACGCTATGTTGCTCCTGGGAGACACCGACCAGAGCACATGGCTGCAGCGAAGAGGGTGTTGCGCTACTTGTGCAGTACGTCGGGCATGGGGCTTGTGCTTGGAGGGCTAAATTGCAAGAACCAGGGCCCAGCGTGTGCAAAATAGAAAGAACAAGGGCCCATCATGTGCAAAATTGCAAGAACAAGGGCACAACGTGTGCGAAACTGCAAGAACAAGGGCCCAGCGAGTGCAAAATTGCAAGAACAAGGCCCCAGCGTGTGCAAAATTGCAAGAACAAGGGCCCAGCGTGTGCAAAATTGCAAGAACAAGGGCCCAACGTGTGCAAAATTGCTAGAACAAGGGCCCAGTGTGTGCAAAATTGCAAGAACAAGGGCCCAGCGTGTGCAAAAATGCGAGAACAAGGACCCAGCGATTGTAAAATTGCAAGAACAAGGGCCTTGCGTGTGCAAAATTGCAAGAACAAGGGCCCAGCGTGTGCAAAATTGCAAGAACAAGGGCCCACCGTGTGCAAAATTGCTAGAACAAGGGCCCAGCGTGTGCAAAATTGCAAGAAGGGCCCAGCGTGTGCAAAATTGCAAGAACAAGGGCCTAGCGTGTGCAAAATTGCAAGAACAAGGGCCCTGCGTGTGCAAAATTGAAAGAACAAGGGCCCATCGTGTGCAAAATTGCAAGAACAAGGGCCGAGTGTGTGCAAAATTGCAAGAACAAGGGCCTACAGTGTGCAAAATTGCAAGAACAAGGGCGCAGCATGTGCAATATTGAAAGAACAAGGGCCCAGCGTGTGCAAAACCGCAAGAACAAGGGCCTAGCGAGTGCAAAATTGCAAGAACAAGGGCCCAGCATGTGCAAAACTGCAAGAACAAGGGCCCAACATGTGCAAAATTGCAAGAACACGGGCCCAGCGTGTGCGAAACTGAAAGAACAAGGGCCCATCGAGTGCAAAATTGCAAGAACAAGGGCCCACCGTGTGCAAAATAGAAAGAACAAGGGCCCATGATGTGCAAAATTGCAAGAACAAGGGCCCAGCGTGTGCGAAACTACAAGAACAAGGGCCCAGTGAGTGCAAAATTGCAAGAACAAGGGCCCAGCGATTGCAAGAACAAGGGCCCAGCGTGTGCAAAATTGCAAGAACAAGGGCTTAGCGTGTGCAAAATTGCAAGAACAAGGGCCCAGCGTGTGCAAAACTGCAAGAACAAGGCCCCAGCGTGTGCAAAATCGCAAGAACAAGGGCCTAGCGAGTGCAAAATTGCAAGAACAAGGGCCCAGCATGTGCAAAATTACAAGAACAAGGGCCCAACATGTGCAAAATTGCAAGAACACGGGCCCTGCGTGTGCAAAATTGAAAGAACAAGGGCCCATTGAGTGCTAAATTGCAAGAACCAGGGCCCAGCGTGTGCAAAATAGAAAGAACAAGGGCCCATCATGTGCAAAATTGCAAGAACAAGGGCACAACGTGTGCGAAACTGCAAGAACAAGGGCCCAGCGAGTGCAAAATTGCAAGAACAAGGGCCCAGCGATTGCAAGAACAAGGGCCCAGCGTGTGCAAAATTGCAAGAACTAGGGCTTAGCGTGTGCAAAATTGCAAGAACAAGGGCCCAGCGTGTGCAAAATTGCAAGAACAAGGCCCCAGCGTGTGCAAAGTCGCAAGAACAAGTGCCTAGCGAGTGCAAAACTGCAAGAACAAGGGCCCAGCATGTGCAAAATTGCAAGAACAAGGGCCCAACATGTGCAAAATTGCAAGAACACGGGCCCAGCGTGTGCAAAATTGAAAGAACAAGGGCCTATCGAGTGCAAGATTGCAAGAACAAGGGCCCAGCGTGTGCAAAATAGAAAGAACAAGGGCCCATCATGTGTAAAATTGCAAGAACAAGGGCCCAGCGTGTGCGAAACTGCAAGAACAAGGTCCCATCGTGTGTAAAATTGCAAGAATAAGGGCCCAGGGTGTGCAAAATTGCAAGAACAAGGGCCTAGCATGTTTAAAATTCCAAGAACAAGAACAAGGGCCCAGCGTGTGCAAAATTGCAAGAACAAGGGCCCAGCGTGTGCGAAATTGCAAGAACCAAGGGTCCAGCGAGTGCAAAGTCGGAGATACAAGGGCCCAGTGTGTGCAAAATTGCAATAACAAGAGCCCAGCGTGTGCAAAATTGCAAGAACAAGGGCCTAGCGTGTCCAAAATTTCAAGAATAAGGGCATAGCGAGTGCAAAATTGCAAGAACAAGGCCCTAGCATGTGCAAAATTGCAATGACAAGGGCCCAGCGTGTGCAAAACTGCAGAAACAAGGGCCTAGTGAGTGAAAAATTGCAAGAACAAGGGCCCAGCGTGTGCAAAATTGCAAGAACAAGGGCCGAGCGTGTGCAAAATTTCAAGAGCAAGGGCCCAGCGTATGCAAAATTGCAAGAACAAGGGCCCAGCGTGCGCAAAACTGCAAGAACAAGGGCCCAGCATGTGCAAAATTGCAAGAACAAGGGCCCAACATGTGCAAAATTGCAAGAACACGGGCCCAGCATGTGCAAAATTGAAAGAACAAGGGCCCATCGAGTGCAAAATTGCAAGAACAAGGGCCCAGCGTGTGCAAAATAGAGAGAACAAGGGCCCATCATGTGCAAAATTGCAAGAACAAGGGCCCAACGTGTGCGAAACTGCAACAACAAGGTCTCATCGTGTGCAAAATTGCAAGAACAAGGGCCCAGGGTGTGCAAAATTGCAAGAACAAGGGCCCAGCATGTGTAAAATTCCAAGAACAAGAACAAGGGCCCAGCGTGTGCAAAATTGCAAGAACAAGGGCCCAGCGTGTGCAAAATTGCAAGAACCAAGGGTCCAGCGAGTGCAAAGTCGGAGATACAAGGGCCCAGCGAGTGCAAAATTGCAAGAACAAGGGCCCAGCGAGTGCAAAATTGCAAGAACAAGGGCCCAGCGTGTGCAAAATTGCAAGAACAAGGGCATAGCGAGTGCAAAATTGCAAGAACAAGGCCCCAGCATATGCAAACTTGCAAGGACAAGGGCCCAGCGAGTGCAAAATTACAAGAACCGAGAGCCCAGCGAGTGCAAAATTGCAGAAACAAGGGCCTAGCGAGTGAAAACTTGCAAGAACAAGGGCCTAGCGTGTGCAAAATTTCAAGAACAAGGGCCCAGCGTGTGCAAAATTGCAAGAACAAGGGCCCAGCGTGTGCAAAATTGCAAGAACAAGGGCCAAGAGTGTGCAAAATTGCAAGAACAAGGGCCCAGAGTGTGCAATATTGAAAGAACAAGGACCCAGCGTGTGCAAAATTGCAAGAACAAGGGCCCAGCGAGTGTAAGATTGCAAGAACAAGGGCCCAGCGAGTGCAAAATTGCAAGAACAAGGGCCCAGCGTGTGCAAAATTGCAAGAACAAGAGCTTAGCGAGTGCAAAATTGCAAGAACAAGGGCCCAGTGTGTGCAAAATTGCAAGAACAAGGCCCCAGCGTGTGCAAATTTGCAAGAACAAGGGCCCACCGTGTGCAAAATTGCAAGAACAAGGGCCCACCGTGTGCAAAATTGCTAGAACAAGGGCCCAGCGTGTGCAAAATTGCAAGAACAAGGGCCCAGCGTGTGCAAACTTGCAAGAACAAGGGCCCAGTGTGTGCAAAAATGCAAGAGCAAGGGCCCAATGAGTGCAAAATTGCAAGAACAAGGGCCCAGCGTGTGCAAAATAGAAAGAACAAGGGCCCATCATATGCAAAATTGCAAGAACAAGGGCCCAGCGTGTGCGAAACTGCAAGAACAAGGTCCCATCGTGTGCAAAATTGCAAGAACAAGGGCCCAGGGTGTGCAAAATTGCAAGAACAAGGGCCCAGCATGTGTAAAATTCCAAGAACAAGAACAAGGGCCTAGCGTGTGCAAAAGTGCAAGAACAAGGGCCCAGCGTGTGCGAAATTGCAAGAACCAAGGGTCCTGCGAGTGCAAAGTCGGAGATACAAGGGCCCAGTGTGTGCAAAATTGCAATAACAAGAGCCCAACGTGTGCAAAAATGCAAGAACAAGGGCCTAGCGTGTGCAAAATTGCAAGAACAAGGGCATAGCGAGTGCAAAATTGCAAGAACAAGGCCCCAGCATGTGCAAAATTGCAAAGACAAGGGCCCAGCGAGTGCAAAATTACAAGAACCGAGAGCCTAGCGAGTGCAAAATTGCAGAAACAAGGGCCTAGCGAGTGAAAAATTGCAAGAACAAGGGCCCAGCGTGTGCGAAATTGCAAGAACAAGGGCCCAACGTGTGCAAAATTTCAAGAACAAGGGCCAGCGTGCGCAAAACTGCAAGAACAAGGGCCTAGCGAGTGAAAAATTGCAAGAACAAGGGCCCAGCGTATGCAAAATTGCAAGAACAAGGGCCCAGTGTGTGCAAAATTGCAAGAACAAGGGCCTAGCGTGTGCAAAATTGCAAGAACAAGGGCCTAGCGTGTGCAAACTTGTAAGAACAAGGGTGTAGCGAGTGCAAAATTTCAAGAACAAGGCCCCAGCATGTGCAAAATTGCAAAGACAAGGGCCCAGCGAGTGCAAAATTACAAGAACCGAGAGCCTAGCGAGTGCAAAATTGCAGAAACAAGGGCCTAGCGAGTGAAAAATTGCAAGAACAAGGGCCCAGCGTGTGCGAAATTGCAAGAACAAGGGCCCA